ACTGCAACACTTTCACCATCTGATGGTACATGTATTGCTGTATCAAAGTTACTCACTCTGATGTTACAAGCATTCATGACATCTATTCTTAAAACTTAGTTTGTTTTTCTCTATGCGGTAGGCTAAATGGTTTGTTTTCAATTTAAAAATGAACCCTTACTCTTTACCTTCACACCATCCTAGTGAATAAAGCATCGGAAAAGACACCCTTTCCTCAATTCCTTCGATCAAAATACGTCTGCATTGCTGGTTGGAGTCAGCGTAATTAAGCTAAACCAGAAACCATAATCTGTCCCTAGAAACCTGCACTGATACTCAGCACAATACTGTCAGATCAACATGATCAATAAACATAAGCAAGCTGTTTTTAGTTACGTTCAAACTGAGATGGGTGCTTGAAATACACAGCTGTGGTTAACCCATGTTCTACCCAAAAGAAAATTTAACACTGTTTAGACCCTTCTCATGGCAGTGAGTCAGTAGTTATAAAACAATCAGATTTTCAACATCCAAAAAGTAAAGAACAAAAGTACTGAGCATGTACAGTGTACATGTACTGCAGAAAAGTGGAGCCTGTAGCTATAAAATTATGAATAACATTATTAACGTCAATGCTATTAATAAATTTCTTCCTGCTGCACAAAGTGGCCGAAATGATCATAGCTTGAAATTAATTATTCCTCTTGCTAAAACTGATTGTCTCAAATATTCTTATTTTGTCCAGTCAGCTAGGGCATGCAATAACCTGCCCCACATGGTCATTGATAGTCCCTCTCTGATTATCTGTAAATCGTCGCTCCAATCTCATCTTATCATGTAACTGTTTATTTCTTTTTTTTGTTTTAATTTTTGTACTATGCATTTTATGTGTTTTCTTGCTGTTTTGGTTTTGTGCTTACATTCAGTATGTTTTAAGACTTTTTACGTTATTCCTGCTAACTTTTTCAGTTGATTAGTCCCTTTCTTGTTGTCACTTATCGTTACTGTTTTGAATGTTTTGGCAATTTTATTGGTCTATATTTTAGTTGTGGTTTTATATGTGTCTGTACTATCCTTTTTGCCTAGTTTGCATAGTTTTATTTGGTTTTTAGTTTCAGCTCTTAGCTTTTTTAGTTCTTTGTATGTGTACAGCGTTTTTTCTTTTATCTTTAATCGTTTATCATTTTATCCATGGAGTGATTTTAGAAGGACCTTGAGGTCTTGTTCACGATCCTTGACATGGTAAAAATTAATAATAATAACAACAATTTACTTCCTTTTTGACAAATTCTTCCACAGCTGTGACTTAGAAAAGGTGATTGGCTGATGACGAACGCATTAACACACTACGCCACTCTGTACAGATTGATTGATAATACCATGCAATAAGAATCCATGTTCACATATTAAGATCTGGAAATTACAGCACCATTTTTAATGGTTGACTAATAAAATGGGTCAGTTAGGAATTTGTGCTAAACTCACCAGACCTACATGTACATGTACTTCAGTCTACCGTATGTGTCCTGTTATTTAGCCACCAGTATTCAACAGAATAAAAACAAAAGCATACTGTAAGCCTGAGCATAAACAGGCCAATTCCTATGCAAGCCAATTCATACCAGTCTATGACCAACTCATGCACAGATTGGCCAACTTGCACACATGCCTGCAGCACATGTACATGTGCCAACTCATACACAAACCAACTCGTATGTAAACAAACTCGTATGTGGACTGAAACTCTGATTCAACCAAAGCAAGCTCTACATATATTTACTTTACCATACACATGTAATGATGTAGCTCTTGTTCGACCAAAAATGGTAATTTAATACTTTTAGTAGGCCTACATGTACTCTTGTAGATACAAGTACATGTACAACAAAAAGGGTACTCTCTACACGTTAGCTGGCGCAGGGAAAATATAAACTTCTTATTTTTAATTACTGATAAGTTTAAAGTTAAATCATTAAAAAGCATGTACCGTACATGTGAACTTCCAAATGGATTTTTAAATGTACATGTAGGCCTAACAACTTAACAGCGTATGAGTTGGTTGGCAAACAAGCTGGTCAGCGTATGAGTTTGCATGGTAGGTGTATACGAGTTGACTTGCACAAATTTGGCCCAAGCCTGGAAAGAAAAAAAATGTCCATATGTGGACAACACTAATTTTCCCAGCGGTCCTAAAAA